TGATTGACCTATTGTACCTGCCCCGGGTGATTTTGATGATGGAGAATTTGGTGGAATGAAGATTTGCAGGGGAAACCGAAGTACTCGGAGAAAACCCGCCCCAGCGCCACTATGTTCACCACAAACCCCACACTTGACCAGACCCCGGGATCGAACCCGGACCGCCGCAGTGGGAAGCGAGCGACTAACCGCTTGAGCTATGGCGCGGTCGTCCACCAAAGAAAATCCACACAGTGAATGGTAGGTGATCCAAAATACGCTTGGAACCCTTGGCCTAAACAATTTTCCTTTAACCACATCGCCATGCGAAACTACTGTTCATTATATATAGATATTGTTTCAATTCTGATTTGTTTAACAACCCCGTCAGTAGCTCAGACTTGCAGCGTGTAATGCAGATATAATAACGAATGAAGAATTGGAAATTTATGTGAAAGGAAGCGGCCATGGCCTATTGCAAAGTACTATTCAGGAATTCGCCTGGACGGCCTGACAAAAGCCACGAAAGATGTCAACAACCGTTTCAGCCCGAGTTACTATACTGAAAATACTGAAAGTTAAACTTTTATTTTACTTATGATCCAGCAGTTAACGACGTCAGCAGCTAATGATATGCAAGGTTAATTTCATCGTCGCTTACAGAAGGGTGCGAAAGTTTACTCTTTAACTTGCAAGATTATGTACCTTAAGCGGTGTAAATATTGTAATGGTGTTTCACTGGCTTTACATGAAACTGTCTTGAAGCAGAGCTGCTTCGCTTACTTCTCCGCTCCGGAAATAAAAGGCGAAGACGATTTTCCCCATATGCTTAATTAAATAAGCGCCACGCCATAAATAAATTGCGGAGACTGCAGTAATGGATTGGTTTTTCATTAGAGTTTCTATTTTCAACATATTTCCAATACTCATATGCCACTGGGAAGCTCCAACTTATTTACTTAGGACTTCTTCGGTGAAGTTGCTTACACGAGGTTCCTAGAGTAAAGGTAAAGTATTCCCTGTGCTTAATTAATTAATTAAGCATTATTATTATTGTTATTATTATTATTATGGCTCTATAGCCCTTTGTTGAGCCTTGGCCGCTTTTTCAGTTTCTTGTTCCTATACACAGCCGGTAGAACTCCTTGGATTGGCGATCAGCCGTCGCAAGGCCAGCGTTTGAGCGAGCGAATAAAGTTCATGCCTTAGACCGCGCGGCCACTGTGATCGGCAATTAAGCACTATGCTATAAGGAAACATGGGGAATTGGAGGTATAGATCCACGTTTTCTTGACCTCGGCACTAGTTGAAGGTGATTGGTCAGCTTCACACCCCTGTCACTTTGCCCCTGGTAAAATATGACCCTGTACCCATTGGATAGGAGGCTGGGTGAGCCCTAGAACCGGTCTGGAAGATTTGAAGAAAATTCGTGACCCTACCGGGAGTAGAACTCAGACCCCTCCGTCGTCCAGCACGTAGTCAGTTGCTATACCGACAGCGCTATCCCGGTTCCCGTTCGTAGAGTAGATGGACTATAATTTTAGACACTCAATATATGTTCGTGGTCAGCTTCTCGTCCCTGTTCCTTCACCCCCGGGGGAAATCCCTCAGTTTAAAATTGACAGCAAGGCCGACAGCACGCTCTACAGTCTGAAACTGCGAATTCATAAGCTGCGGGTAATTTTGCCTACCTATTTTATTTAGTTTTGTTTTCTTTATCTCACAAAAAATTTTACGCGCTGCAGTAGTAATGTCTCTCCAGAGTTTCAAATTCAAGATCGCGTCTTCTGTTGAACACAAAGCCTTCGTAGTTCTCTCCTTTTTACACTCTTCATGGATGACGCTCAAGCATGTTCTGACGTCATATCAATCTTCTGAGTAATCTTCCCGTGTCTCCGTATCTTCTGTGTTTACACCGAAAAGAAGTCCTGAAAATCCATTATTGTCCTCTTTTCACGTCGGTTAAACATTTTTCCCTCTAGTCATATATATCCCTCAATTGAACAAATAAATATTTCATTCTTTCCTTGTATCTTCAACTTCAATTTCGTTTAATATTGTTCGTCTATTACAATTCTCTTGAACTTAATTCCGCTGCCTACATTTTCATACGTATTTTCTTTTTAAGCCTAATTTAACTTCCACATAGGAGCCGGTATAGCGACTGACTACGAGCTGGACGACCAAGGGGTCGGAGGTCGAGTTCCGGTAGAGTCAAGAATTCTCTCTTCTTCACGACGTCCAGACGGGTTCTGGGGCCCATGCAGCATTCTTTCCAGTGGGAACCGGAGGCTTCTTCCCCGGGGGTAAAGCGATCTGAGTATGAAGCTGACCACTCAACTCCAACTACTGTCGAGGTGAAGAAAATGTGGACCTATACATCTACTCCCCCACACGCCTTCATGGCGTAGTGCTTAATTAGTTAAGCACGAGAACAACTTTACCTCTTTTTTACCTTTAATTTCCACATAAACGCGTGTGAACTGCAATTACGCCTCCTTTATAAAAAAATAAATCTAGATTTTACTCCTTCCTTGCCAGCAGCAATCTGGGACAGGCAAGACGGTGTCAGCAGTTACGTCACAGATCGACCGAACTCGCTAGCAACCACTAAACCACTCATCGGAAGGCAGCGATCAGATCTCTTGACTAAGCTGCTTATGTCTTCCGCTAATTATGTCATCGGCAGGAATGTAAAAATTAATTGTCACATTACAGATTTCCTTTCATTTTTTGAAGAAACTTTCAGAAAATTTGTATAATATATTTTTGAGTTGCAGCTGTAAAGAATTATTTTGACTTACGTATGTATTTACATGAGCTGAATATCGTAACAACCTGTGTGTCTTATCGCAAACTGTGCCTTGCATACAAGGACAAATTCGTCACTTAATTGTCACTGTTTACTTTTCCTAAGCAAATAGCTACACTATTTTTTCCTTGGCACTACAGCCCCAGTGGGCCTAGGCCTACCTCCATGAACTTCTCCATTCACTTCGGTTTTTCTCGATCTTATACATTCGGTAGGACTGCTTGGGCGGGTGATCAGCTCGTCGCAAGGCCTCTGCCTGTACACAAACACAGAAAAACGCACACACACAAACTAAACATCCATGCCCTGAGTGGGATTCGAACCCACGATCCCGATTTCCAAGCGAGCGAAGATAGTATATGCCTTAGACCGCTCGCCTATCGTGACCGGCAGCTACACTAATAGATTATTTAAACACTGAATTTGATATCAGTACAATATTAGTCGAGTGCTTGTAAATTTAATCACTTCTGGAGAAATTACCGGTTCCTTTCTTTAGTAAACAGTTCACAACCTGAAAATGGTAATCAGTTATACAATACAAGTCCAAGCAAAGCAATTCTCATAACAAAATCAATTACATTAAAAGGACAACATCAGACTTTAGCAAACTATAGTACTAACATGTTGCAAAGAACTGGGTACAACAGTGATTGTGGTTTTCCAAGATCTGTTTGTTGTCTTCTTTACACTACTCTGTTTATTACAAACAATAATTTATGGATGGGATTATTACCGTCATAACCAAATATACTTTTTCAGGATATAATAATTAACGCCTTTGCGTAGGCTGCGCCACAGCTCAAGCGGTTAGTCGCTGGCTTCCCACCGAGGCGGCTCGGGTTCGATCCCGGGTCTGGTCAAGTGGGATTTGTGGTGGATAAAGTGGCGCTGGGTCAGGTTTTCTCCGAGCACTTCGGTTTCCCCTGCCAATCTTCATTGCACCAATTGCTCCACAATCACCCTCACCTATCATCTGGGGCTGGTACAGTAGGCCAGAAGTGGCCACAGTACAAGGGACTTAGTCCCACCCCACTAGCAATAAAAAACGCCTTTACATATATTAAAAATCGAACGGACGTCGCAGTTTTCCACATTTGTAACGCTATGAAATGTATTTTGTGTACGAGAGCTTGCGGAATAATTTCCTAGACATACCCGCCTTCCAGAAGTGTGAAGGATGCTGAAAATACAAATAATGTATTTCGGTAGGCCTATGTTAAAACTGCCAATATGACAACGGAGGTTGTGTTCACTTCTTCAAGGTTAATGCTACGATAGTACCTTAAAAGAGCACCTTCCACATAATTTCAAGTCATCATCATCATCATCATCAATAGCCTATAATATGAGGTAAAACATACGCAGCTGGGGAAAAGTCGTTAAAAAACGCAAAAATCATTTAATCAGTCCATGAAATGATTATAGTCCATTTGTATGAGTGTGTAGAATTCATACGAGTTGTAACAGTGTCAATTGAAGCTAGCAGCATAATGTTCGTGTCCAATTAGAATCCAGGATGTTACGAGTTCCTCTATGTAAAGCTCCAACGAAAAGTATTGTCATTTTTCCAGGGTTCCATGACTAATAATAACAGCTTCTGGATTGGATGATTGGATTTATTGACACTTATACATTTACACAGTTCGGGACTACAGGCAGTTACAGCGATATAGCTATTCTACACACTTACAGAATACCGTTGCACACGCATTAGGATTCTCAGTCTTCACTAGTCGTATCCCGGCAACGGATTTCTCAGTCTCACTGTAACTTCAAACCACACGTGAAGTCTTCTTTTCACGCTTTTCACCGCCTAATTACTTTCTTGTCATTTCCTGCGGCTCACAACTCCGAATACTGGACACAAATCTCTTGCGAATACCGTTCAGCACTCCTACAGCCTCTGAACTCCCAGTTCTAATTCTCTCTTGTCCCTTCGAACTAGTTCACTTATATAGATGGACCTACAGAAAACACGGGTCACGTGTCAGAATGCATGGCGCGGACCACATGGAAAACACCGCTTCCTCTATTGTTACGAAGGCATGTTTACCGCACAGTTGCCTAGCAACAGTAATATTCGTTGTCGCGGGAATGTGTTTACAAAGCCGTTGCCTAGCAACGAGTATACGCGTTACAATATTTTGAACATCGTATTCTCTGAAATAGCCCATCCGTGTAGTGACTGTCTATAGGCCGAGATTTGCCTCCCGGAAGGAATATGATATTTGTGTCGCCACTACCTCCAAGCCAATTTTGGGACTCAACCACCTTCCTATTCAAACATAGGTGCGGCTCTTTTCCCGGAGTAAAGCAGCAGGACTGTGAATGTAACTAGTCACCTCTGTCAGCTCTCAATGAGTCTTCATGGAGAGGTATTTACACCCTGGAATAACTCTACGTTTAACTTTCACTGAATTATGATTTGAGAGGTGGGACATTTGTGCTTAAGCCACAGTACAAGCTGTCCTGAGCTACATGTTATAAATTAAAAATCAATATTACGGGGAAATTAATTCTGTCAGTTTCATCTTCGTAAAAGAATTATGTTTCCAATATAAAAGGTCCCACATTGCCAATGAATTTAATTTTTGTTAAACCCGAATATCTCTATTAGGACCTCTTAATATGTGTCACAGGCGGACATCGACGCAGTGACGGCTGCACACCTCACACTCTCCTTCATGTGCCAACAAGTCATTAGTATGGAAGCGCAAGATAATGAGACCCACGCTAAAATTAAAGCATGCGTTTAGATTAAAATAGAAACCATCAGTCCCGAGCCAAGAACGTCGGAACAAGGGACCAAAGAAAGATAGATGACTGTCTGGATCACAGAGTAAAAGGGGAAGGGGTTTAACAGCTACTTGCAGTGCTTGAAGTACGACCAACTTGCTAAATTGAAGAGTTTAGACTCGTGCAGTAGCTGTTGTGATGATAATGCTGTTTGTGTGCTATTTAGATGAGGTTTCATAACTACGTAACATAACGTGTGTTATCAGTTAAGTTTATTTTGTCATAGTGTCACAACCGGCTAGCCTGTAATGTCGTCACTAGGAGGATCAGGACTCGAGTGATCTGTACCAAAATATGATGACGACGTAAAGTCATGGGAATTACACCAAGGAGAAACTAAGCATTTTAATCTTGGATTTCAGGTTTTTACCATGATCCGTACATAACTTGTTGGCATTTTCTTCTACGATTTTGATGGCGTGTATTAGTGTAAACGATTTCGGAAGGAAATACTGCCTCAAACTTCAGGGTAGAAGTGATGAAATATGACGCATATAGTAAAGGATGGGCAGGAATTAAATAAGTGTAATTTCGAAATTTCCATGTAAACAGAAATGATGAATTGAGATACAGTACACTGCACAATGCCTGTAACTGTACGCAATGTCCGAATTTCGGCCTCATTAGGCGTAAACAACAATGTTCTGTTTGAAACAGAAAGATAATTTATATCTACATAAACGCTGAGGGAATTATTAGTGGGTGATATACGAAATGTTGCGGTGTGTAGTATTTAATAACCATATCAGTATTTTGTTGAATACAATCAATTTTCTGAAGTACATTAGATATTCACGACTTATGGCGTTACTTCAGTGTTCATGTGATTGACTGTCATTAATTAGACAAAATTATTATTATTTTTTAAATTTATGGTTAATGACAAATTTTGGGATCGAACTCAGAATTTTTAGAATATAATTCCTTAATTTTATGAAAAAGGACAGTCCACATAACACTCTGAAGTTGAAGGCAGATTATTTTTCAAGAGTGTTATTTCAACGATAACGGGAAATTTAACGTGTGTATCTGAATGACACGCAAGTGCCAAGTTTGAAATGTGTACACGTGATACAAGTCACGCAGGCCTAGTGAGTGCGTGTAGACCTAATTAATACATGGTGCTGATATGGCGGCCCGAATATTTGTGACACAAGAAAAGCTGAAATAACTTATTTCCTTTTTAATATATTTGAGTTAAACCCCAAAATTAAAAAATTTTAAAATGTTCACATACATTTTGACTGCTGGAGTGTAATCAAAGAACCTTCTTCTACTAAGCATTTTTACGTGGTAACGTATATTTTTTCTTGCTGAAGAGCCAAGAACAGTTAGTTCTAACTGCTGCATAACGACAAGATATTATCAAATGCCATAAATTCGTTCTAGAATGGACACTGTTATTAAGAGAGATACCTCACACATATCACGGAAATGGTTATAATATGAATTAAGTATACTCGTTTAATGCTTATTTCTTTAGTATTTGTTTCTTAGTTTCATTAACTATGCTCTCTCAACTACAAGGTTCGTCGGATGTGAAAGTACGAGTAGTTTAAGGTTACAAATAATGAGGTAATCACTGTAATCAATCCTCACTTTGTGTTCCTCCAGACTGTAAATAAAAATATTCAAGTACACAATCATGAAAACAATTTCCACAAGATGGGGAAGGTAAACATGCTTGCCTCACAAAATTTACGATGCTGAATTATTTGTTCCAAGGTGTCACTGCAATTTTAAGCAGTATGTAGTAATTCTAAATGTCTTTGTCACACACACTAGGACCCTGTTTTTCTTCAGCCTTTTACTTTCATTGTATCCAAGATGAACTACCACTCTCTCTCTTTCAAGTATTAATTCTTTCTAAATATTATTTAAAAATAAAATTTCCATTGTCTCCATGATAAAGACCAATTTGTGAATTCAGTTTCGGGAAAAATAATCACTTTTTATTCAGATAATATTATGAAACACATAAATACACTCTGTGAGCAAAATTCGGAGTTTTTAATACACGTAATATAGCATGTGGCCACGGTAGCCGAGCGGTCTAAGGCATGCACTGTCTTCGCTCACTCGGAATCCGGGATCGTGGGTTCGAATCCTACTCAGGGCATGGATGTTTGTGTGCGTTTTTCTGTGTTTGTGTACAGGTAGAGGCCTTGCGACGAGCTGACCACCCGCCCAAGGAATCCTACCGTATGTGTAAGATCTAGAAAAACCGAAGTGAACGGAGAAGTTCATGGAGGTAGGCCTAGGCCCAAATAAGGGCTGTAGCGCCAATGAAAAAAATATATAGCATGTGATGCATATAGCAACAACAGTGCATTAAGTGGATAATAATTAAGGAGTGCTTCTTGCAGAAATATTTACTTGTAATTTATTTAACGACGTTGCCAATAGCAATCATTATGCAACACTGCACTGTATCACGATTAATTAACAAAGTACTAATTAAAATTTTCGGTTTCTTCCTCAGCATGTTCGCAACACACTTTCGATATTAAATCGGATATACTGCTCACAAAAATGGCAGTAAAATGTTAAAACACGCACAGGCTTTGTTATTCTGTTTTTCTTACGCAAGACATAAGAACATGCCGGTCACGGTAGCCGAGCGGTCTAAGGCATGCACTGTCTTCGCTCGCTCGGAAGCCGGGATCGTGGGTTCGAATCAGGACATGGATGTTTAGTTTGTGTGTGTGTGCGTTTTTCTGTGTTTGTGTACAGGTAGAGGCCTTGCGACGAGCTGATCACCCGCCCAATGAGTCCTACCGAATGTTTAAGATCTAGTAAACCGAAGTGAAACGGAGGGTTTCATGGAGGTAGGCCTAGGCCCAAACTGGGGGCTGTAGCGCCACAGAAAAAAAAGACATAAAAAAGAACATACGTATTTGGAAGGGTAGTAAACGAAGCGGTCGTGGCCTAATTCGTGGTTATATCCCGTAATTTATCTGGAGGAACCGAGGAAAACCACCGTTTCATTTAACATTTCATTTAGTGGGGGGGGTGGGGGGTGGAGTCCAACTTGGTCCACTCGGCACGGCGGCCACTGGTTGGCCCACTGTAACCTGCCCCGGATGATTATGATGATGGAGATTTTGGTGGAATGAAGATTGGCAGGGGAAACCAAAGTACTCGGAGAAAACCTGCCCCAGCGCCAATTTGTCCACAACAAATCCCACTTGACCAGATCCCGGGATCGAACCCGGGCCTCCGCGGTGGGAAGCCAGCGACTAACCGCTTGAGCTATGGCGCTGCCATTTCATTTAACATAGCCGATTTAGAGGCAATCGGGATCTCCAAAATACGACGCAGGAGAGCAGTCACCTCAGCCGCAGTGTTCGGTGTTTCTTTGGAGGTAAAGACGCTATACATTATGGCATGTGCATATAGCTGTACTAAACACTGGTATACGTACTTCTGGCGTGAACACGGATTCGAGGGGAAAAAATCAATGATGACTTTTCCAAGAGAAGTGTCACCACATTATGTGCTACTTCATGCTGCGACAGAATGAATTTTCTTCGAAAGCAGTGTCTGTTATCCGGGTCCTATATGCAGTAATCGACTGCTGAAGAATTAGTGTTTATTTCTTCTCTTGCTATTTTATAAGCGGCACGTATATTTCTGCGCCATGTATACATGGTATAACAACTTTTACTCATTCGGAAAATTATATGCTAACTCGTTACCGGTAGAACCTGAAGGTTCAGCATGCCTCGCCATTCCAGGTTATCCTGAATTAATGCCATTTAACTCCTATTTTAGTATCATTTCCCCAAGAGCAATTATGTTATTATCTTCTCCTTTCCTTATTGGCATTCCAAAGAGCATCTTTCCAAAAGATTCATCATCAATAATGTTTCTACAGCCCTTTGTTGGGCCCTGGCCTCTTCTTCGGTTACGTAATATTTTTCACACAGACGGTAGGACTCCTTGAACAGGGGATCAGCCTGCCACAAGACCGCTACCTACACACAGAACGACACAAACACAAAATAAACGCACACACAAACATCCATATCTTGAATGGGATTCGAATCCACGGTCCCAGCGTTCCAGCGAAGACAGTTCATGCCTTAACACGCCCGACCACTTTGATCGGCTTCCAACAGGTTATCCCATCAAAATCCAGGACGTATTCCTGATATTTCTTGAATTACGAGCATACTGTATGTGCAAGTCATAGTAACGTCTCCAATGACGGCCGTAATAACACCAGATTAACAACATGTCTCTATACGTATCACCCGTCAGTTTCTATCAGGTCAGAATGTGAACCTGAGCACTTTGTTTTCAGAAACTTGTATTTTGAGTTATTTTTTAGAAATAAGAGATTACATTTCACAAATAAACAGAACAGCTCTGGATTAAAATAATTTGTGTGTTAAAAGGTAAAGATATTGTAGGACACAAAATTCTGGATTATAATATGCCTTTAAAGGTTATTTTAGTAGGCCTCTGTTTGGTTACATATCTCTACATTCAAGTGAACAAGTGGACTGAATGGTAGGAAGCATTACCCGAGTTCAGTCGCCTCTTAATTTCCTCCTGTAACAGGTTTCGATCTGTTATCGTTGTTCCAAAATATCTGAACTGTGTCACATTTTCAAAACATCTGTTTCATATCTTTATGTCATGATTTTGCCCTGCATTTTGGTGACGAGACAGCAACATATACTTAGTTTTCTCTCTCCTTACTTCTAGACCAACCTCTTTACTTGCGCCAATTAAAGTTCGTGTGTTTTTCTTTATGGTATCTACATTATCACCCAGTAGATTCAACTCATCGGCATAGACCAACAGCTGATGAGTCCCGTTTAATTTCAGTCCCACCTGGTTTCCCTGGACCTTCCTAATTGCATATTCTAAGGCAAAGTTGAAAAGGAGTGGCGATAAAGCATCTCATTGTTTTAGAACCTTCTGGATAGGAAATTTGTCAGACAAATGTTTACCTACACGGACTTTACTATACGTTTCGTTTAAACACATTTTAATTAACCTAACTAGTTTCATGGGTATCCCAGACTCTATCAGAATATTGTACAATACTTCCTTCCTGACTAAATCATAGGCTTCCTTGCTGAATAGCTGATGTACTGTCTCAACGTGCTCCCATTTTTTCCTTCAATATCTGACGAATGCAAAAGATCTGATCTGTAGTTGATCTGTTACGTCGAAACCTACACTGATGATCCTCAATAATTTCATCTATATATGGACTTAAACTTGAGAGATGAATATTAGATAAAATTTTGTATGAAGTTGATAGCAGTGATATCCCCCGATAATTACTACAGTCAGTTTTATTACCCTTCTTGTGAACTGGTACAATAATAGACCCATTCCACTGATCAGGCAATTTTTCCTTATGCCAAATAGAAATAATTAGATTGTGATTCTTAGAATGTAATATTTCACCCCTTGCTTGAATAAGTTCTGCTGGAATTTGATCACAACCTGGCGATTTATACCGTTTCAATTTTGCAGTAGCACTTTAAACCTCAAAAGGGCTAGGATCAGGTATTAACGGCTCAGCTGTGTGGATTTCTGTCTGCCTAACATCACTGACCCTATGTACATTCAATAACTTAAGAGTAGTTCCTCCACCTATTCAAAATGTTGAGGGAATCTGCAAGCAGGTCACCATTCTCATCCTTCACTAAGTTACTGCTAGGCTGGTAACCCCTCTTAAAGTCATTTATTCCTCTATACAGGTCTCTAATGTTCTTGTTCTTACTGTTCATTGCAAGCTCATCAATTTTGTCTTTCAGATATTCCCTCTTTTTGTTCCTGAAATGCCTGCTGGTTTCACGTCTTATGTTGTTCGGATTATTCCCGGTAACTCGCTTGGATCCTGTAACCATTGCAATTTGGCCTGCTTTCTTTGATCTAATAATTTTGAGCATCCTTCATCGAACCATGGCTTATGCTTCTTCAGTTCATAATAACCTAGACTCTCTTCGGCAGACATTTTTATATTCTCTCTAATAGTTTCCCAAGTTTTATTAACATCCACCTCAGTGTCCAAGTTTTCCAAAGCCGTGAACCTATTTGAGATTTCAACACGATACTGCTCTTTACCCTCTACCTCATTTACTTTCTTGAGATTGAACCCCTCCATATGAACTCTGTGTGTGTTTGTTTGCTCACTGCCAGCCTTTCCCTAACCTTTGCCACCACCAGGCAGTGGTCAGTATCACAATCTGCTGCCCTGCATGATCGGACACCAGTTATACTTGAGTGCCGTCTCCTATTTATCTATGAAAATATGGTCTAGTTGATAGTGTATCTTCCCATCCGGAGATGTCCAAGTAAATTTATGGATGTTACAATGTGGGAACATTTTACTTTTGACAGTAAGATTTTTGATTTGGCAAAGTTTACTACTCTAACTCCATTATCATTACTAATTTCATGCAAACTCTCATTCCCAATCGTTGGTTTTAAAATGTCTTCCCTTCCTACTTTGGTATTGAAATCTCCCAACAAAATTTTCATAGAGTACTTCGGGAATTTATCAAATACATGTTCTAGTTCTTCATAGAATCTATCCGTTATGTCATCAATTTTATCTTCTGTTGGGCCGTGAACATTCATAACAATGCTATCACACCAGCGACCTTCTAGTATTATATGACATCCTATCACTAACGAACTCTACCTGATACGATTCTCTTATGTACGAAAAAACCTGTACCTAATTCATGATTTTCATTCCCCTTTCCATAGAAATATGTATAGTCTCCTGCTGGTGCGATGCCACCTCCATCACATCTGACCTCCTGTACTCCCGCTAAATCTAACTTATATTTCAAGATTTCTTCTGCCACTGCCCTGAGCGAACCTGCCCTATACAAACTTCGTACATTCCAAGTGCCAAATCTCATATCCATTTCCATTAGCTTAGGCCGTTTATCCAAGGAATTGGTGCAGGTCCGAGGCTTTGTTTTCATTTTCGTAACAAAGTAATTTTTTAGGGTGAGGAGTTGTTAGCCCCACGCCCAATTCCCAAGCTGGAGGGCCACCCCTTTTCGGCTGTCCGCGACTGCTTATTCAATATATTCACAGCTTCCCCCCAAAACTGGAGGGCGTCTTCTCCATCCGCAACCTGAGGACGCGCCATGCCATGGTGACAGGGACCCACCTAACATGGACTTTCAACTGACTACCCGGCGTTATATTTCAGAAGATAGAACGCTTCTTAACGACCGCTGTGAGAACCTCAAATCCTACAACACTGCAGTTGATATAGGGTCGTTACATAATCTACAAACCAAATGGAACATGACACGTCATGTCTGTGCAACACATGCTCACTCTTGTAACCCCTTTGAAGTTTTGTTTTATGAAACAGCGTAATTTTATTTCACATTATAGTATTTATTGTTCGCAGGATGAGCAACGTGGGGTCGCGTGACCGGTGTGCGGTGTGTGGGAAAGCCGTCATGTCTGTGTTGTGCTCGCAGTGCGAGAACGTGGCTTACTGCGGGCTCGAGCACCAGAGAAGCCACTGGCCGGAGCACAAAAGTCTCTGCAGCCCCTACAGCATCGAGCGGACCGACACACTTGGCAGGTGAACAATACAGTCCGTATCAGACCCAGAAAAAGGAGAATTGATATCAGATCATTGTAAACAGCATTTGTTATTTATAGGTCTGTATGGTTTACCTGTAATCTTCACGTTCTGACTCCTAGCCAGTAGTCAGGCAAATAGAACACCATAGAAGTGTCTGAGGTTTTCTTGACATGAGTGCCGTTACAAACACTAAATCCAGACATTATCCGTCGTCCTGTGTTTTTTTTTATTTAAATCGCAGCGTTCAGGAGATGCATTCTGTCTTCGTCTCTGTCTCTGTCTCCGAAAGGTTGTTTTAATATAAAACAGGATGATGGATAATGTCCATAAACTCAGTATTTTTATTAAGGTACTATCGTCACATATTTTAGATGACTTCCATTGTTTTACTAATAACATTCCTAACAGATGCCAGGGCACGCGGTAACGTAGTTGGTCGAGGCACTATGCTACAAGCCGAAAGGACACGGGTTCGATTCCCGATGAGGTCACTGAATTTTTAAATTTACCTAATCTTTCCAGCCGCACTATGGCCCTTGATTCGACTCGGTCTCTAACAGGAATCTTCCTGGGTTTAAAGAGCGGCCGGGGCGTAAGGCTGACAACTTCACCGCCATCTGCGAGCCGATTTTCTGGAAAATGTGGGAACCTCGACGTCTTACCACCCTATTGGCCTCCACGACTAATTACAGAGAGAGCTTTATATTTATTAATAAGATTTACCACTTAATATAGGAATATTTTCACACTGTATGAAACGTATAAGAAAGAACAACTTCCGCAGAGGTCCCGAGTCAGTAAAATTAATTTTGAGTGCATGAGGATACCAAGCGGTCTTCCACTAAGAAACTAGCGACGCTCGACAAAACTTGGTTTCTGAAATTGTTCTTTATTGTTTACTTTTGTCGCTATCAGTATAGCGTTGATTGGTAGGATGACTGATGTGTAAGGAAACGGTTATGGCCTATTCCAAAGTTATATCCCGACATTTGCCTGGAGAGACTAAAGGAACCCTGGAAAAGTCCCAGTTAATAGTCCATGTCCCGCCAAGCTTTGAACTGAGCACCTCACGCGATAAAATTTGGAAACGTTACAGACTGTACCAACTTACTCAATTGTTTTCATACACTGTTCTGTTTGTTACTCATATTCTGGCTACAATCTAGTCAAATTTCGTATTCTTAATTCTCTGTCTTGATATTCATCAGAGCATAGCATGAGCTCTCGACTGGGGCCAGCATAGGGATTAGCCAGCAGAAGCTGCCTAAGGACTAAACCATCCGGAAGACTGATGATTTTCCGCCGGAAATTAGGAGCCCTCCACTCACACAGAACTTCAGGTGGTCAGTTCAGACTGATTTCTGCGTTCGTGTAAGAGGAAGGTTCGTGATTTCAAACCTCACAGAAGACACTCTCTTTTATTAAAACATTTAAATATCTTGCATCTCACTAGCTAGTTTACAGCTGACACATAAAAATGACCACTCTAACCTTATTCAGAGAGAGGGAGACCAGTAATTTTTTTAAACCATGAGCTGGGAGTTCGAACATTACACATGACAATTTGTTTTGATGAAAAGTTCGAAAATATCCAAAAATATAATATTTTTCATGCTTTGAAAATTAAGGGCAACTTTCACAACTTTTTAATTAAGTTAAGAAGCTGTGATTTTAAAGGTAAGTTACTTTGAGTTCAAAAATGATATTAAAAAAATTAATTGGTAGTAATGAAAATTTCTGCATCATTTAACCATCGAGATTACTTCTTTTGTATTCTGGTTATAGAAAGATCACTCAGTATATTTAACTCAAGATAAGAGGAAGTCTTATAAATCGAATATAGTGCTTTCTTATCTTACCTACTTATTATGTAGCTAAGCCCTTCTTGAGGAGTAGCCAAATCTGCAGCTACTCAAGAATTTCCCAGCATTTTATGGAACCCGAAGGTTCATTAAGTGCTTTCTTATCTTACACAAGGAAATTATTTTCCATAGAAATTTGTAATCTGTCGTGCGAATTATCAAAATTGCTAAAAGCCTGTCTCTCAATTGCATCACCCAATAAACTTCAGGTTCAAATATCTGGAAATATTCATCTCCGTCCCATTTCACAGTTGAAAGAATTTTCGTTAAAGATTTGACATTAGATGGTTCTGAAAAAAGAAATTGCCAAGCGCATTCCAAGTTTGGTTAAAATCGAACAAACATAAGGAAAACTTTATTCAAAGACCTATTTGCGATTCTGCACATTTCTAGCGTAACTCGCTAAGTACCGGTACTTCTTCTAGGACAAACGTTGTAAGGAATAACATAACACGTATGTTACGAAAATACGTATATATTTCCGTAAGCCTTACTGGATCTCGAGATAATTAAACAGAAATTAGTTTGTGCTGCGTCGTATCAAAACTGCAGGAAAGTTCGATTGATTTTGCCACCACCCAACCGGGTGGTTTTATACTAAATATAAAACAGAATCAATTATTAGAATTAATGAAATGAAAATCTTCAGGCAAAGGTCAACATAAGAATTCTTACACTATGGTACATTACCTAAACGTTGTTTATTTCTGTAGCTTCTGTCGCATTTTTGTTAAATGTGATACAGGAAACAACAACAAAGAATTGTTAACAATAATTTTAATTCAGGCGGAATTGGTCAATTTGAACACTCTATTTGCAACTCTGATCTATGTCGGTATGTTTATCTCGTAAAGCAACAATTGTTTCAGGCATAATCAATAGATAAATGTGAAGCTGTCCCTATGCGTAATTAATTAATCATCATGCCACGAAGACGTATGAGGGAGTGGAGGTATATTTCCACCATTTCTTTACTTCGGCACTAGATGGAGGTGTGTTGTCAGCTTCATGACTCCAGTCGCTCTATCCTCGAGGAAAGAGCCTCCGACATCCAGTGAATAGCAGACTGGGTGAGCTCTAGAGATGGTCTGGACACTGTGGGGAAGATAAATTCTTACCTCTGCCGGGGAACGAATCCCGGCCATCCAGCTCCCTGTCTCTAACATCGAGTAAGCTACTTCGGATCAACTTCTAGGTGTTTGATTTCAATTATTTTCATTGAAACTACTGAGAGATACTGAGAAGATAAAATATGTAATGTCATCTGCCGACAAATTACTTCAGAATCGTACGTCTTTACATCTCTTATCAGAAAAACAAACATTCAACTACACAAATTGTACTTTTACCTGAAGTTTTGTTTTGGTCTGATACTACTTCTCTCACCTTGAAAGAAGAACATGGTTTGAAAGTGTCTGAATACAGAATGACGAGGAGAATATTTGGCCCCAAGACGGTACAAGCGACAGGAGGCTGAAGAAAATAGCATAATGAGAAGTTTCATAAGTTGTATTTTTCACCAAATTCTATCAGGGCGATCAATTTAATGAGAAGGGCGTGTAGTGATCGTGGGAGAAGTGACAAATATACATTAATAATTGGGCTGGAAACATGATGGGAAAAGACCAATTGGGATGTAAAAGAATAGACGGGAGAATGTTATTAAAACAGATCTTAAAGATATGAATATAAGGGAATGTGGGCCAGGACAGGAAGCAGCGGTTGGCTCTAGTGAATATAATGGTATTTGGGAACCATAAAAGACGGGTGATTTCTCGGCCAGCTGTCAAACTATAAGCTCCTCAAAAAGGGCTCCACTCCATGCGGTTAGTTCATTCATCCTCCCATTCACTTCTAGTCAGTGAACCTAAGATTATATCGTTTTAAATTCCCCCGTAATACAATAAAATTTTTATGTAAAGAGAACCAATGAACACTGAAAAAGCAGTTACACTACATTTTCACACTCAGAAATTAATGGCCGTGGGGATTCGTTGCGCTGACCACGCAGCACCCTCTACCCGCTAAAGTTGGCACTAACGTCGCCGACAAGCGGCGGTTGCTCGGTCGGTATGGTTCGCTTGCGGACTGAAATCACAGAGTTTGTTTTTTGTTTGTTCGTCAAGCTACATATGTTAATTATTAAAGGTTTCCTTACTGTTAGCTGGTCCATTGGCTGATTACTTAATGACGCTACAACGGTTATATATTGTTGAAGATAAAGCGAAAATGACAGTATCATCAAGAAACATGTAACGCGGGTTTTAGGATAGGTCGTGCCTTGCAGAGAAGTCTACAGTGCTGTAAGAGGAACACATTCTTGTTTTTCGTGGTGGGTCTCTGTGTTCTTCGCCCCACGCTCGTGTTTCTTTTGTTTATTTTTATACAAAAAAATAATAACAAAATTCTGCATTTGTCTTCTCAAACTGGAAAAAATGATATTTGCAATTATCCGCTATCATTACCAGTTTTCGAGATAGAGAGTACGACAGTTCTAATATCCACATTCCCAACCGACACCCAATGGTGGAGTGCAGCGCTGTCTTATGGGCACTATGTACTCGTATGCCTTCGTCGTATGAACACACTTGTTACAATAGCTACAGTTCTAGATTTACTCGATAGATGGTGGTGTCATAAATCAGAATTAGGTGAGTCAATATTATCAAACTTAGTTATAAATGCCGCTACTGAATCGATATTAAGTAAACATTACTTCAAACGCTTCAAACCACGAAAATCGTGGGTTATTTGTCTAGCAGACGCCAAAAAGTAGGCTGGAAGACTAGCTTCATCATTTATGGATATTCTGGTAGATTTTTTTATTGCTAGTGGAGTGGGACTAAGTCCCTTGTACTGCGGCCACTTCTGGCCTATTATACCAGCCCCAGATGATAGGTGAGGGTGATTGTGGAGCAATTGGTGGACTGCAGATTGGCAGGGGAACCGAAGTACTCGGAGAAAACCTGCCCCAGCGCCACTTTATCCGTCACAAATCCCACTTGACCAGACCCGGGATCGAACCCGGGCCGCCGCGGTGGGATGCCAGCGACTAACCGTTTGAGCTATGCCGCATTCTGGTAGATAATCCACATCTATATCCTTTGTACACATTTATTGAAATATTAATATTGACACACATGTCCTATAATATTATACAGGATGTTTCACGACTTTAGGGCANCGGCGGTGGCATTTTCGAAAATCAGCTTTAAGCACCAATAAATTCAAATTAAAGGTAATTTCACGAAGTTAACTTTACATTCATACTTTAAATGTATCATGTATTATGCTGGTTTATTATTTTGTTCCGTTTATTGTCAGTAATCGTTACCTTCTATTCTGAGTTTAAAACGGTCATAACTCCGTAACCGTCCAATATCGGACACATGTTTATATGAATTTTTTGATCACAAAGACCTAGGAAATCACCTCCTGCAGTTATGCCCTAAAGTCGTGAAACACCCTGTATAATATAATGAGAGAAATACTACAGGATCATATAAAATGCATGCAATAATAAACGCCCATTTTTAACAATTGCCATTTGGAGGCGCAATTTTGATAAGCAATATTAATTTACTGGCAATTTTATTCGAAATCAGTGGGCTTTAAACGAATATTATAAAATATCTGACATACGTATTTTATGAATACCTAAGTGTTTTGCTTAAGACATTCATCTCTTAGGTGAGTACTCGGAACATAGGCCCAAAAATATATTAAACATTTTAACAAAGTAAGAATACAACTAAATTACAATGAACAGAACTTACATATGTCAATACTTGCCTAACTCCTGTTATACATGAAAACTAACTGAAAGTAAATAGAATCAGAAGATAAACCTAGTATAATAGAATTACCGAATATCGAATTTAATATAAATCTCTGCACTAACTAATTCCATGGAGCTGAGTCCATCTTGAAAAGCCGCCAGTCGCTCAGCTACTCAAGAATTTCCCAACATTTTACGGAACCCGAAAGTTCATTGCTGTGTTCACCCGTCCCTACCCGTCAGCCAGATCAATCCAGTCCATGCCATCCATTATTTCTCTAAGATCCATCCTCCCACCTACGTCAAGGTCTTCATAGTAGTCTCTTCCCTTCTAGCCTTCCCACCAAAATCCTATATGAATCCTCTTCTTTCCATGCTTGCTGCATTCCCTGCCCATTTCACAGTCCTTGACTTGATAATTATAGTTATATTTGGCGAAGAGAGTAAGCTATGAAGCTCCTCATTGTGCAGTTTTCTCTAACCTCCTAAAAGGACGCAAAATATACACAATTTTGCTGGGACACTTAAACAAAGACAGTCTTAAACCGAACCAAATACAAATTTTGCACCATAAAATTTGCGGTAAGTCTGCTACACCGAATATGGACATTGCTACCGGATGGGCTGACACAGCGAAACTCACAGGCACTTTTAGACATATATTTACATATATTTGTATTTGCAAAAGCAGCTGAGAGGAACATTATTATCAAGAAGTTATCCGTCAGCGTGACAAATAACTCTCCATGTTCCCCACAGATATCTGGTCGCAACGCGTGACATCAAACCAGGAGAAGTAATCCTGAAGGAGAAACCGCTGGTGGTGGGTCCTCGAGTGGATTCCTTCCCAATCTGTCTGGCCTGCTACCGGCCCCTCCCGATATATCAGGAGTCCCGCTGTTCACGGTGTTTGGTGGCGCCTGTCTGTGGTGTTCACTGTGAACGCCAGGGAGCGCACAGCGAACCCGAATGTATCTTACTGAGGGAGGCGGTTAAGGAGTACCCAACTCTCCTGTCAGACCAAAGCCAGATAGTACTGCCTTTGCGGTGCCTGCTGAAACTTCGAAATTCACCCACAGATTCCAAGTGGACTTCATTTCTAGAACTGGAATCTCATGAAGAGAAAAGGAGAAACACCCTTATCTGGAGAGATCATCAGCTCAATATAGTAGAGGTAAGCAAGGAGTCTGTCTTGACCAATTAGGTTTGATCAAGCGGTAATGCTTCTGACTTGTATTCAGGAAATCCGCAGTTCGATTCTCGGCCAGGACATTGACTATGCGGGCTAAAATTTATCGTGGGTTTCCTCAGTCTCTCTGAACACGTATAGCTCTAGTACTTAGAGCTGACAGTCCTCCGACGCGGAGTAGAAGAAGTATTGGTAGTGGCGTGGAGAGCTCCAGCATGCCGACAAGTGTGGCGGGGAATGCACTACAGGCGTTCTCAGAAGGAAATAACTTCTTACCTCATTGTGTTGCATAGTGATGGTGGTTTATTCTCGTTGATGGTCACACATCCGATGCTAATTTTTAAGTGCCGAATGATAGACTATTGTGCACTATACACTATTATACACTTTTCACTGTTATATACACGAAGAGTTTATTTACATATTACACGGGTCTATTCTAAAGGGGCAAGATACATACCTATACTCTCTCCTTTGAAACGACACGGACCGCATAGAAAATGACACATCCAACAAATCTTTTGTAGCGTGTGTTCGTTACTGCGTAAACAAGTTTCCGACCCACTGCCTAGCACCGAATAGAGTGGCGTACCTAACCGAGCCGTTGCCTTGCAATGGTAGGAGGGATAAATATGCATACATATCAAATATCATCTATTTCGGGCATTCAAAGGTTATTACAGGGAATACACAGATACACGGACAGGAAGGAGATCGCATAAGCCTACTTCAAGAAAAGTACGCTAAAATTGTGGGAAATGTACTACTGTCCAATTGGCACCCCTTCTCTACTGAAGTTAACTGAGAATACGAAACCAATAATTCGGTGTTGGGTCTGACGCAACTGCTTCTGTAGGAGGAAACTGCAGTGCCTTTTGTAGCTACATCTGTGAGGTTTCTAGACGTGTATTTTTTTTTTTCCCACCTTGGCACTACAGCCCCAGTGGGCCTAGGCCTACCTCCATGAACTCCGTTAACTTCGGAGACGTGTATAGCTGAATTTAATTTTAGTTTTGGAAGCAAATGTACTTGAGAAACACATAATAAATTCTGCAACGTGACTTGTATGAAGACAGGAGTCCCACAGCTTCAATTTCAGTTGCAAATACACGGTAACATTTGCTGGCTTCTTTTGAAGTAAGGCATTGTTATCTCTTCTTACATCCCCGCCCAAAACCCCGCTCCACTTTACTGCAAATTCTGACTATGATCGATGAAACAAGTAATATAAAAATTATATTAAAGAAAACCAAGCGTCGCGGACGAGTGGGTAGCTCATCTGTTCCACACTCGGGAGGTCCGTGTTTACATCATAGCCTACAGACCGTCCATCTTGACTGAGATACTTTATGGTTTTCCACAGTCCTTAAGTCAGATGTCAATGTATCTACTACATCTTCCTTCCACATTCCTTCCAATTCATTATTCAATAATCATTCTGTGATTTGACACTATTATATTCTGAAATACTGAGAGCATTAATAAATTAATGAAAAATAACTGTAAATGAAAATGTTGACACCAGCCAGAAAAATTATTTGTTGCCCCGGGTTTAAACAAGGGTTAATCGGGACTCCCTTAGTTATTCGACTCAAATTAGTTTCTTCCTATGAGATTCAAATTCACGACTCCTTGTTTGCAAAACCAGTGTTATGCCTGTGAGCTAAGAAGCATAACCACAACTTCTTTTCTTATGTAGACCACGAAGATGCCGCCAGCTAATTTGATAATTTGACAAAATTCCTTCTGTTCGTAGATTAAATTTTACAGCCCATTTTTTGGAAGATCTTTGCTTTACTGCTCTGAGAATATTCATCATCTGTAAAACCACAAAATATATGGTTACGTTACTGAATAATTTGGAATTATATGATGAACGGAAATTGTCTCATGTGACATTTGAATTCACAGCAGCAGACCTAGAACTCCAGTGTCCGACTTAATGTGTTGAATGGGTGATTCCATATTATCAAATAAAAAATCCAGAGAATTTTAACGTATCTCTGGCCGACAACATTAGTCCTTCATAACAAAAATACACATAGAAACGAATTATCAAACACATTATAGTAATTGGGGCACGCGGTAGTGTAGTTGGTTGAGGCATTATGCCACAAGCCGGAAGGTCGCGGGTTCGGGTCCCGATGAGCTTGATTTTTCAATTTACCCAATCCTTCCAGCCGCACTATGGTCATAGGGTCGATTCAGCCTCTAACAGAAATGAATATAAGGAATCTTCCTGGAGGGTAAAGGGCAGCCGGCGCGTAAGGCTGATAAACTTACCGCCATCTGCGAGCCGATTTTCTAGAGAAACTGTGGTAGCCTCGACGTCTCACAACCCTATCGGCCTCCACGGTCTGTTACAGGGATAGCTTTACTCTTACCGTTACCATTATTATAATTACCTTTGTAATATATGTTATCAGCCGGTCACGGTAGCCGAGCGGTCTAAGGCATGTACTATCTTCGCTCGCTTGGAAGCCGGGATCGTGGGTTCGAATCCCACTCAGGGCATGGATGTTTAGTTTGTGTGTGTGCGTTTTCTGTGTTTGTGTACAAGTAGAGGCCTTGCGAAGAGCTGATCACCCGTTCAAGGAGTCCTACCGAATGTGTAAGATCTAGAAAAACCGAAATGAACGGAGAAGTTCATGGAGGTAGGCCTAGGCCCACTGGGGCTGTAGTGCCAAGGAAGAAAAAAGTGTTATCATTTCCCTATAGTTCTCTACTAATCTAGTGTTTGTCTAGTTCTGAACTGAGGCGGCTATATACATGTAGGTTTGAGAGCGAGGTAGGAGAAGGGTTCTAATGAAAACTGCGTGATGTTTATCTCTACAATTTGTGGCCCTACTCTTCAAGAACGTAATAAGGGAAATGAAATGGGAGAAACATTTGGTACTTATGGGAGGTATGAGAAACACATACAAAATCTGAGTAGAAAAATATGCAAGGAAGACACTACTTGGGATCCCTAGGCATACATGTTATTGAAATACTCCTATATCTTAGTGGAACATGATGCGAGAATATGCACTGCATTCACAGAGAGAAGCTCTGAGCTCGTTTGAGCACAAACGAAACATTCGGGCTCAATAAAATGAAGAAAATTAATTGATCAGCTCAGATTTTTAAGAACGTATCTGCTCAATGGAGATAATCAGTTAGTTGTGTAATTAGTGTCGATAGTTGAATTGTCAACTGATGGTGTTCAGGTGCTCCGAGATCATGGTCTGCTCGCACCGACGGAAGACGCAGATCTCGTGCAGAGAATATGCGGAATTCTGGACGTGAACAGTTTCGAAGTTCGAGGTCCGCCATCGAAAGCCGGAGTGACGGAGAGGTTGAGGGGAGTGTACCTGAGGGCCGCACTCATGGCTCACGACTGTGTAGCCAATACGCACTTGGCTGTGGACGACGACTTTCAGATGATCGTTCATGCTAGCATACCTATACCACGAGGACATCCGATTTACTTCAACTACACAAGCGCTATGCAGGTATACCATCAAGCTGCATTGCTTATTACATGTCGCGATTGATGTGTACTAAGAAATACTTCCCCATCTTTTGTTAAATGATAATCCAACACCGAAATTCTGAGGAAAATTGGACAACATTTATTTTTTTTTTCTGAGGCCTAAAAACCTTCTTAAAAGTTAAACTTGTTACTACTGCTTAAATAGCCCCACGTGGAAACAGGTTGGGTAACACCACTTCAGCTCTAAAAGTAGTAGAAGACGACGAAAATGGAACCCGGTTCCTTGGGGTATAACTGAGCCACTCTAATATTCTGGGACATAAATACAGAGACCAGGTCCTCCAGGGTGCGGGTTGGACGCAAGGCTGACGACTTTGATCTGTAAAAAAATATTATTATTGCAAAATCCAAAGAAGTGAAAGCCAGATTGTCTACTTGAAGATAAATCTGGCAGAATCTTCTACAGACACTATAGCTCAGGAAGGGCTGTTCTGCTAACGATAATATCGATTCTTTAGTAAAGTAATATTCTGCTTTAAAGATGTTTTTACATGAAGATATTCTTTAATATTAAATGTTATCAGTACCTTCATATTGGTTTGGCAACGGATGCCATTTAAGTTTGTGTCGGGTCAGAGTTAGCTATGTGGGGGACTCGGTGTATATATATTTTTATGGAATTTAAATAACAGATTATATTGTTAATTCCAAATTAGTTACTGATGCTTTTATTTCTGCTAGGGTACCTGGGATAGACAAACGCATCTACGAGAAGGAAAATATTTCGACTGTACCTGCAAAAGATGTTCTGACCCCACTGAACTCGAAACTCACATGAGCTCCATCTGGTGTGTTCGCTGTCATGAAGGTTTTGTCGTATCAACAAACCCCATAGGAACCAGAAGTCCGTTACAAGAAAGCAAACAAGTGAAGACGGCTTCAACGAACACTGACTGGGAATGCAAGACCTGTCAGCATCGATACAGGTTCAGCCTCATAGCAACAACTGTATCTTTGGCGCGTGATCTATTCTGTGACGTCGACAAAAGTGACACCAGAGCTATGGAAGCTCTCTTGCGTAAACTGTTAAGAACATTTACACCTCAGCATTTTGTGATATTAGAAGTGAAACAGGCTTTAGTAGCTGCATATCGAGATATGATTATTCGACAGCCGAATCCTACCAGGAGTGTTTTAAACAGGAAGACTGAACTCTGTCAAGATATGCTTCCGGTCATCCAAGTGATTGAGCCAGGAATTTCTAGGCTTAAAGGTATCACATTTCCTCCCTCGTTAAACACAAACGCTTCGCAGAGCATACACCTCATGCGTGTGAGATTTACCAGGCTTTTATGCCATGATGACATATTATACTATTTAATATTTACGCTTCGGTCTTATGGGGGCAGCGGTAAGAGTCGGTTGAGGCGGAAGGTCGCGGGTTCAAGTCCCGGTGAGGTCATTGGATTTTTTTCAATTGACCTAATCCTTCCAGCCGCACTATGACCCTGGGGTCGACTCAGCCTCTAACAAAAATGAGTACCAGGAATATTCTTGCAATATTTTGGGGGGTAAAGGGCGGCCGGCGCGTAGGGCTGGCAACCTTACCGCCATCTATGAACCGATTGTCTAGAAAATGTGGGACCCTCAACGTCTCACAACCCTATGGGCCTCCACGGCCTGTTACAGGGATAGCTTTACTTTTTTATTTTTATTTTACTTTTACTTCGGGCTTATATTTATGCATTGTTGAGACATACTAGGCACTTGAACACACGGACACAGGAAAGACTGAATATTATTTGCGCAGTCCATTAATCCATATTTAGCTCAGTACAAGTATTAAAAGCCCTTACTTTAGTCTAAGTACATTACTTCGTCTAGATATTGTGTAATTTATAGCTTTTAGTACTATTAATACCATAAGTAAATATATTTATAATACCACCATACAAATTCAATACATCATGTTACTGTGATTTTAGAATTGTTATCATGTCAAGATATTTCGCACGGATACCATATTTTTTATTTAATTTTTCCTCAAAATAATAAAACTGAAAACCTTGTGAAAGATGTCACCATACTAAATTTCAGTATTCTACAATAGATAATGCTGAAGAAACCAGTCTTCTGGGATGTGGCACCNGGGACAGACACAGGATTTGTATAAGATATTGTGTCGGGGGCGGGGAGATTGGCAAGGTTAAAGGGAGGGGGTTGCTAGGTTAGTCGGTCATGGCCTGTGTAGCCTTGTGGATCTGGCGTCATGTCCCGGGGGTGTTTTTTTAGGGAACAGATGAGAGGCTTCCATGACTTGCTGAGACACGGTCTCTTCGCTTGCGGAGTTCTTATTTTTCCTTCTACCCTGAAGATGGAGGCGATACGTTCCTGCGAAACGTCGGTTAACACCACATCTACACGGTGCCACATCCCAGAAGCCTGCTTCCTTCATAGTCACCGCCGTGAAAACCTCAAATCTTACAATAGATAATGCTGTTCACACTTAAGAATTTCGTATTGTAGACACGGTGGTATTGTCGATGACAGGGAGATATGAAGTAGCATAGGAAGGTTTCCACTGACATATTGTCCATATCAAGTTTCATCAAAATCGACCAATTACTGCCATTTACTGTGATTACTGCTGTTAGACATACGCAGATCGCTGATAAAGAAACTCTGTTCTTTCAGAATTCTAGAACAATATTAAGAAACGTATTGGACTCTCGGAATTCGCACCTTTCGTATTCTGTAAGAGTAGCAATGCTTGGTCTATGAACATACGTCCATGTTATTTGGCTTGGAAAGAACCACGGTAGTGTATCTGTTCGTTCTCGTCTCTGCTTGCATTTAAAGCCAGTATCTTGATGTCATATTCTTTAATGGGTTTTAGAACTGCCGTATAACGATGGTACGTGATCGCAACCAGAATTTGTATCTTGTTCTTCTTAGCGTTTCAACTGTAAAATTGAAGTATGGAAAGTAAAACAAACAATTAATAACGAATCAAACATTGTGGCCTGATGGGTTATGATACCGTGCAGTCTGATAGGTGGACACCAACGTTTCGTAGAGACCTAATGCCTCCTTCAGAGCCTTAGCTTTCCTCTCGTAATCCTAATTTGGACACCAGCAGGAGCCTTAAATCCTCAGACTCCATTTTTAGTGTGTTTCAGCATTACTAAAGAAGGAACAGTCTTCTAATGTATTTGTATTTGTGCCAACTCTAAAGAGATTAAATGCCATGCAAGTGCATGCAACTAATCCCAAGTCTGAACATTTAAAGTGGCCTCCTAAAAACGACCAGTGATGGATTGTTAATTACACAATTCTTCCAGGAATCGCCCTATATGAGCTGCAGGACTCCATTGTGAAGTTGGCTATCAGGGATATGGAGGCCGGGAACACTTCTAAAGATCTCCTCGTAAGGCTCCGAGGAGCAGAGGTCTCTCTCCGTGAAGCCGTCACTCAGCTCCTATACGAGCCCACACACTCTCCTGAAGGTCAGCTTGCCAGAATCGCCATGCAAGACTTAAAAAGGCTCCGATGCAACATCCAGCATGTGGAGAAAATGATGACTGAGAATGGGCGTGATCACCGGAAATCATCCGCAGCAACGTCGGGTATCTCCAAGAAACGAGACGGAGCGGGAAGGGGAGCAGGTAGAACTAAAAAATGATTATTTGCGAAATGTCGTGTTATTGACTTAGGTCCCACCAAATATTTAAACTTAAATATCGCTAACTGGTCTCTTTATTGTGACAACTGAAATCCTAGTTTAAGGTAGAAAAAAATATGTCGATAAATTGAGGCAGTCAAACTTCCATNCGTCGGTTAACACCACATATACACGGTGCCAAATCCCAGAAGACTGCTTTCTTCCATCGTCTTGGGTATTCACACGTCGGTGCCGCTTTTGCATATTCGGGACCCGCATGTGCCGTATAATTCTGAACATTCTTGAACATGTTCACGCTTTTCAATGCAAGTTGTAATATAAAACGCACAACCGTGAATCCTAATAGTCACTAAACGAGACATCGCTACTACAGATTAACGCTATTTTCTAAAACTCAGCCATGCCACAACACAAGTTAGGAAATGTAAGCATAATTTTTCCGGCGCAATGACTCTCTCGCTTCTCTTTAGATTATATAAAGAAAATAATAAGTAGCTCTAAGCAGTAATATTACGCGAAAGTTGCCATATTTTACATAAATCGAATAATTAAAACTACGACGATCTATTCTAGTAAACATGAAATTAGTATGTAGTTATTCACTGTCAGTTGATATTTATTCAAAACAGTGATAAATAAAAACTGTGTATAGATGAATATCTCATGAAGCATAGGCATCTACTGTCCACTGCGTTACACATATTAAAAATATTATATATGTACTATATAATTGTTGAATACATGCTTCAAAATTGTGTTGTAGTATGAGCATTATATTAAAAGAATAAAAAAGCCTGGTTTCAAAGCACTCAAAACTCAAGACTTTATTTTATTTCCTTTTCTTAATTGCTGTCTTTTAGTCACAACTGAAACATGTGTTTTGGTATAGATTTAGTAAGATCGATAAAGTTCCCAACCTCTCCCCCCCTCATGCACCCTGATCAATTATATTTCAATGAAATACATATATATATATATAAACACACCATACATGCAGACCTATACATTCGGGAGTGTAGAGGACGGAAATTTATCTGATAACTGCCGCGTCGGACTGAAACAAATTATGAATAAAATATTAAGTCTATAAAAATATGTAACTGAGATCCTGCATTTATCATACATTTTATTTCAAATCAGACTGGCTACGGGCTGGACGACCGAGGGGTCGCATTTCGAGTCCCGGTAGTATCAAGAATTTTCTCTTCTCCACGTCGTTCAGACTGGCTCTGGGGCCTACCCAGCCTCCTATCTAATGGGTACTGGGGGCCCCTTCCCCGAAGGTAAGGCGGCCGGTGCGTGAAGCTGACCACTCACCAACTAATACCGAGGTCAAGAGGATGTGGATCTATACATCCACTCCCCCATACGCCTTCATAGCGTAGTGCTTAATTAGTTAAGCACAGGGACAACTTCACCTTTTATTTTAAATCTCTCTTTTGATTGTGATTATCCAACTTTTCTGTAGATAAAATGGGAACTTTCACAAATAACTGAGAAGTTACTTTAAATTTATTTGACATCACGTGTTATACCATTTGCAAATAAAAATGTAATAATATGGCGAAATATATTTCAAGTATGAAGAAAAATTTGAGCCACAAAACAGATCGGTGCACGGGATATTTGGAGAATTCAGAGAAAAGAATTACGTATTATTGGGTATGGAAAGAAGTGCGGCATATGAACCTTTTTCAACCACCGGTCGGCGGAAACATTTCACCAGCCTGAGGATGTTTTACTTCTTAAAATTCATAAAATTTCTGGGAAAAGACGGTGCTATTTATGACAGACGCCCTGTTTCTCAGGGTGTCTCCGTACAGTGTGAATGCAGCAGAAAGTTCATATTTATTTAAGAATTTTAATCGTCTGAAGTGTAGAATTTAGATATTTTACCTGTCCGCAGCACAGTACACAATTTTATTTTAATTCTAATATCCAAGAAGCTTAACATTTTGAGTGAAATGAGTGCGCATGAAATACCTAGTTCAGTTCATGCAAGTAAATATTTAATTGATGATTTTTCAGTTCACGCCTAAATAAAAAAGAGGATACTATATTCTGACAACTTTTAATATTACTGTAGTGGGGGTTTTGCTATCAGAAAATTCCAAGGTAACAAAGATGGACTAGGATTGCATTATCCAATTAATTCATGATGTGACTTTAACATACGTATATTCAGTAGCATTTTGCTTCTTTACTTACGGCCTTGGAGTATGACAAATTGGTAAATTACTTTTAACTTTTAGGTTGTGGGTGGGTATACTTTTAAATAAACATTGTTCTTATAAATGTTTGTTTTAATTTAACTGGTCCATATTTTGCAACTCATATCCACCCCTCACCGGTAGTGACGGAAATATAATCGATTTCCTAGCTCGCAATAGCTATCGAACACGTGGATAGGAACTTTGGCCACTTCCCGGCTAGGCAGAGCGTTATATTCTGTCACCGGCAGGCTGTTGACGAGAGGCTCCTCGCAGGTGAGTAAGGACACCAACTTTTTTTTATGAAGTAGTGACTTTGGAAACAGGAGCGTATTTACTGCTTTACTCTCTTACAAATAAGAAAAATTTAATCAGAATTCTTCGATTTTCCTGAAGAGCATCGCCATTTAACATTTTAACCTCAGTATATTTTACACTAACTTCTCAAGCAATCATGTCTATATTAATATGGCGCCTGCGCAGAATGCAAACGCAGTGTACTCATATGCAACGTATGAGAAACTCGCGTAACTATTCGCAGATTCACACACACACACACACAGAACGAATGCAAATTTCTCGGATTAAAGAATAATGAAAACGTACTTCTACTTTAAACTCGTAAAACCATTCCCTTTAAGATCGAAATATTCTCGTTATCATTATACTACGTAAGTTAAAAAATTAAACATTACGCAATGCACTCGCCTCGTCTGGAGGAAGCCATAAATCTCAGAACTCCTTTCCTGGTCTCCGCATTAATAATGTATGCAGTTTCACTGCTACAAAAATACTCCTGTCGTAACTTGTTTCGGCCTGCAAGTGACTCTTGAAGTCCCACAACTCTCATAAATTTTAAGTGTATTTTTTTTACTTAAAAATTCATATAATTCTTTACAAGTGCGAGGCTTGTGCAGTTGCAATTTAAAAACACAAGTCTTGAATCAAGAAGATAAATATCCTTTCCATTACTAAAATACTGGGCTAATAATATTTAGAAGGAATAGCCACTCTTTGTTCTAACAATCACATGAATACTCGTACACTCTAAGAGGAAAATACCGTGTCATTGTCTCTTAAAGCACGCGATAAAAATACAGTTAAGTCAAATGAAATATATCTTGCTATTTTTAGAATCAAGTGAGTTCACGCCCAGTTTTCAAGTTAACAGGTACAGACGAACGGAGAGATTTGGACAGTATAACTCCCGTGAGCGAGTGAACCTTTACTTATTTAAAGATGTCTTTCAACTGCACTGTTTGCACAACGTCAAATGTATGGGTGCATCTGAGTTACGAAATTTGGAAGGATATGAAAGAAAATGTCTGTAATTCGTCGTTACTCGGTAGCAACCATTCCAATTTTTAAGTTATTTGAAATACCATGCCTAAAATAAGGCCTATGTTTGTCCGTCGGCATTCGATGAATTTCAGCGAAATCTAGTGTTGCGATCTACAAGAAAATTTATTGATGAATTCTCAGTTTGGTCTTTGCCAATCAAAAACTAAACCTTGCACTATTTGATGTTCCTTTTTGTCTTCTCGTCTGCTGTCCAAAAACATAAAAATTAGAATATGCAGAACGATAATTTTGCCTGTGGTTCTGTATGGGCGTGAAACTTGGTCTCTGACATTAAGGGGGGAACATAAACTGAGGGTGTTTGAGAACAGGGTGTTGAGGAGAATATTTGGACCGAGGATAGATGAAGTGGCAGGAGGCTGGAGAAAACTGCATAATGAGGAGCTTCATAACTTGTACTCTTTGCCAAATATAATTAGAATGATCAAGTCAAGGAAAAGAGATGGGCTGGGCATATAGCATTAATGGGGTAAGAGGAATGCATATAGGATATTGGTGAGAAAACCAGAAGGAAAAAGTCCACTAGGTAAACCAAAATATAGGTGGGTGAACAAAATTAAAGTTGAACATAAAGAGACAAAGATGGAGTAGTAAGGATTGGATTGATGTGGCTCAGGATAGGGACCAGTGGAGGGCTCTTGTGAACGCGGTAATGAACATTCGGGTTCCATAAAATGTTCGGAAATTCTTGAGTAGCTGCAGAATTGGCGGCTCCTCAAGAGGGGCTCAGCTGCATGAGTAGGTAAGGAAGTACAGACATTCATAGATCTGCTCAAAACGGCCCTAATTAATGCCCACCAATTCTGTTCGAAACAATTTTCGTTGGGTGAACATGTACTAAAATAAGAAGAGTAATTTCCGACTTGAAGAGAATTCAACATTAAACTTACACCTGTATACTTTATTACGTATATTTAAGCATCCTGTTACATTCCACAGTTCTATATGTATAATATAAACTCCGTCGTAAATGTAACACTCTGTTGTAGTTCTTGTCCCCCTTCTTTCACACTACATGTTTCGGCCGTAATCGGCCATCATCAGGTGTATTTCAGTTCTCGTAGCTGTCACACTGCACTAAATATTAGCATTTAAACACCTGTATCCTAACGGAACAGACTACCGAGACCCATTTATTTGTGCTGTGATAAAAAAGAATCACGATGAGGAGATTTCGTAAATAAACATTAACTAACATCGATAGCTGAGATCATTTTCATTCAGAATATATTGAAAGGTTTGTAAATAAATACATCCCCGGAATTTTCATTTCAGATTTAAATATTACGTCCTACGAATGGTGACAGTACACACTAATTGGTAGGTTTGGCCGCCCCATAGCTCAAGCGGTTAGTTGCTGGCTTCCCAATGAGGCGGCCCGGGTTCGATCGCGGGTCTGGTCAAGTGGGATTTGTGGTGGACAATGTGGCGCTGGGGCGGGTTTTCGCCGAGTAGTTCGGTTTCCCCTGCCAATCTTCATTCCACCAAATTCTCCATCATCATAATCACCCGGGGCAGGCTACAATCGGCCAATCAGTGGCAGCCGTGCCGAGTGGATCCAGTTGGACTCCACCCCCCACTAAGCGAAATAAAAAACATGGTAGGTTTGAACATGGAACACTGATGACATAAATAATTTCAGCTTATTCCCTCAATTATAATTGAAACCACACTTTTTTGGGGTACACGGTAGCGTAGTTGGTTGAGGCACTTTGCTACAAACCGGAAGGTCACGGGTTCGATTCCCGATGAGGTCATTGAATTTTTTTATTTGACCTAATACTTCCAGCCGCACTGTGACCCTGGGGCCGACTCAGCCTCTAACAGAAATGAGTACCAGGAATCTTCCTGGGGGTAAAGGGTGGCCGGCGCATCAGACTGACAACATTACCGCCATCTGTGAACCGATTGTGTAGTAGATGGTTGAGCCTCAACCTCTCACAACCTTGTGGGTCTTCATGGCCTATTACAGGGATAGATTTACTTCACCACACTTTCGTACTGGTATGAGAAACCATTTAAATTTCCGTTTAAAAGATTTATATACAAATAAACATCACAGGCAAAGTTACTTTCATGATTCGGTAATATAGAAGGGGTCGCTACTGCGACGGGGTCTAAAATATCCGCTATTTACGGATCTTCCCCTGGAGGTACCTTTCTTGGAACGCCAAATTCTTTGTCAAAGCGACCCATTCCGCTTCTTCTCTATAAACACGTCATTATTGCCCTTTACTAACTAAGTATAGTCAAAGAAAAAGCCAAAGAAAATTATCACCTAGGACAAAACAAAGAAGGAAAAAATAAAAAAAATATTAAAAATGGAGAATGCAAGAAGTTAAATTGTTAGCTTATAACATAGAGACATTTGTTCAGTTTAATATTATCTTACATTCATTTCTATATTAAAACAAAAAAAAAAAACTCTTCCACATGGTAAAAATCTGTCGACAGACAAATCTAGTATAGATGCACAGCCAGTTTTCCCGAGTTCAAAGAGTGTTGGACATAAACTTTCTTTTTAACCTCTCCCGGCTTTCCAAAGAACAAACACATTACCCATAACATTGTATTATTATACTGCAGCATCCTGTTGCACTTTCCACTTAGCGTCTATTATTCACAGCGTTACGTGATGTTGCACGTAAGACAGTGAATAACAGACGCTAAGCATATTACCAACCTTCGATATGGGCCATAATATTAACCAAGACACCCTATCTTTTGTATCCGTTAGTGAACAAACGACACGACTCTAATCGTAGCCAGTGATATTATTAAATTCCAAGTAACGCATTTGGAAAGCACTTCTACTCTTAGCCAGCACTGAAGATAAGAAAAGCGTTATTCAGTTATACTACAGAATAGAAAGGAAGGTATTTCATAAATGAATATAAAAACGGGAGGCATTAATTTATATGAATGAACGAGTAACTTACTTATGTAACAGTAACGCAAGAAGTTGTAAGCTACTTTAGTATGAGTGCAGTACTCAGTTACCAAACTCTTTCTTTTCTTTTTTTTTGTAGCTCAAAGGACTACAGCTCCTTGTACGTCATATACAGAAGTTTTTTTTGTATTTCCGTTTATTTGTACAATCGGTCCATATTAAGGACTATAAGTACATCTCGTGAAATACTTAATATAAGGCTTAAATACTAATAAAATAACATGTCAGGGAGAGTAATGCTCCAGCGAGCATTCTCTAGGAATCCATTTCGAGTGTAACAACATACGGAAGTGACAAAGAACTGAAAACACGTTATCATTTGAAGACTAGTCTTCTGGGTTGTAACGCTGTGCGATTACTCGTTGAACACAGAAGATAGTACTTTTCATAATCACCGCTGTGAAAACCTCAAATCCAACATTAGTGCTTATTTTTCGGACATCCAATTTCGTGTTTGTGTTTGTATGCTACCGATGGACTGTGAAAATGTTCAAGGGAAGACAAAATTTCCGTCCTTTCTCTAAATGTAATGCTCGGAGACCGAATTTCATGAATAAAGTTTTCGTGATTTCCCTCAGTACCTCCAGGAAAATAATGCGATAATATCTTATGGCAGAACACTACCTCTTCCCTCTACATAATTTCCAGTTCATCATTTACCATCATTCTATTATTCGACGTGTATAACCTACACAACTGAATGACAGAATAATCGATCAATCTGAAACTAATGAAGTTCCTTAAATTTATTGTATAACTTCCATAACCAACAGTCAGACATAGTGAGACTAACTAGGCAATCAAGTTCAGTTGAATAACAACAGGAACAGTGGGCAGTGCACTGTGTGCTCCTACTTTATGTAGAGATGTACGAACAAGGTTTGGGCGATCCGTCTCCACTTGCAAATGAAGAATTAAGGCCTACATATTAGTTCAACGCAAGAGTACGGCTAGAGCTCTGCAAGCAAAATTTAAGGTACAGGATCTTTGCAGAATGTTGTAGCGGGTAGACCTTTTTTTTTTTATTGCTAGTGGGGTGGGACTAAGTCCCTTGTACTGCGCCCACTTCTAGCCTATTGTACCAGCCCCAGTTGATAGGTGAGGGTGATTGTGGAGCAATTGGTGGAATGAAGATTGGCAGGGGAAACAGAAGTACTTGGAGAAAACCTGCACCAGCGCCACTTTGTCCACCACAAAGTCCACTTGACCAGACCCGGGATCGAACCCGGGCCGCCGCGGTGGGAAGCCAGCGACTAACCGCTTGAGCTATGGATGATTTCATCATCCTAATATTTGGCGAAGAGCAGGCCTGCAAATTGTGAAGCTCTCAATCATGCGGTTTTCTCCAGGCTTCGTTACTTCTCTCAATTACGTTCAAAATTCTCCTCAGCGCTCTGTTCTCATATTTCTCATAGGTACATAGCATTTGGAGAATATGATAAACATCCCTTAACAAATATAATTAGAATTATCAATTAAAGAAGAATGAAATGGGCAAGGCATGTAACATGCATGCGAGAGAAGTGGCTACAGAGTTCTGGTAGGAAAGCCTGGAGGAAAAAGAACACCAGGAAGACCTAGGCGTATTAAGATGATATTATTAAAATGGACCATAAAGAAACAGGAAGTGAGAGTGCGAACTGAATTCATTTGACTCAAGAGAGGAACCTGTGGGAGTCTCTTGTGAACACAATAATGAACCTTCGGGTTCCATAAAATGTTGGGAATTTCCTGAGTAGCTCATAGCTTTCCAATAAGGATCAGCTCATAGACTGCTCATAGACCACGTTTCTAAGTGAATATTGTTGGTAACCCTGACGAGATGGTACGAGTGGATATAAATGGCGGTACGCATGTGAATGTTGGACGAAGTCTTACGTTGTAAGTAGCATTTGTAGTGGTATTTTCAGAGCATATTTCTGGTATATGTTGAGGATGAAAGGTCTCTAATGCTTAACTGTATATGAAGTGTATGTGCTAAAGTTAAACGCAGATACATTTATAATGCTTGATGCCATGGTTGTGGAGATTAGCGAGTTCCGATCACCCCCCGTCCCTACTTCCAACTACCACATGGTTTACAGTTGTGTGTCACATTATTACGAATTTGCTTTATGTTTCAGCGTAAATAATGGCAGATATAACGGTCGTTGTTGCTGTCGTTGTTTTGGTTTTGGGGTTGAGCCTTAACTTTTCCCTTCATAAACTAGAAGAAGGTCATGTTGGAGTATATTACAGGGTTAGTATCCGTTTCTTTAGCGTTGTAACGCTCTTTTTTAAACAGAAAATCTTCTCGTTTAAACCCTTTCTGTCCTAGGAGTGTGACAAAATAATTTGTTTTTGTTATAGGGAGGGGCACTGTTAAACAGTACAAGTCAACCAGGATACCATATGATGATTCCTTTCATCACATCGTATAGATCAGTACAAGTAAGTTTAGGAATCCTCAGATACGGAACATAACATAGCAGAAACAGACCAACTTTGCATGGCTGTATTTCTGAGAAGTAAACAACCAATGGCTCTGAGCCACATGAATTCAATAGACATCCTGATTATCCTTTTTCATGAAGATCAGTTTCAGTTTTAAGGTGAAGGATAGAATTACAAATCTTTTGAACAATCAAAATGAAGTCTCTGGTGACAGTTAAGAGTCAGTTTTGCAGATGTTTCAAAGTAGTTGAAAGTCTGCCTATTGAACATGCCAGCTATACTTGTGTTTGAATGACAACTTATATTTTGGACTGAGGTAGGCAGTTGTCCAAGGAAAATATACTACTAGCTCATTCCAGCCAAGCTTGTCCTATATCATGTAACAATGATTTATAGAGATTAAATAAATAAATAGTGCACTGAATTTCTATCCCCAAATGCTGTTTCTCATTGAACTCAACCTTGGAACTGTGATAACCTTGAATATGTTATAGATCAGATTTCAGGCATAGAATTGTTTCAGTCTGTATGGTTTCAGAACTTAATTGGACATTGGAAAGCAAATACTGATTCCAGACAAGCACATGAAATAAATTTCTTGATGCATTATTGTGAATATAAAATCAGAATTAATGTGTTATGATTAAGTTCAACAGTTTCAAGATTTAGACTGGTGGTGAAGTCGGATGACAGGGTGAAAAGGAGTTGATGAGTGGGTGGACATAGAAAATAACGTGCAAGTTTTTACAGCCTTAACAAATGAAGAGACTGCCTGATTTGTCAGTTACAGTCACCCCAGGAAGGAGAGGCAACAAGGAAAATAACTATAAACCTGAATGAATCTGAGTTAAAAAATGGGAATTGTGTAAAGATATAATTTGCATTTATAAGTATCTGTGCAGTACTAAATGCAGTTTTGGTTCTGCTTTAAACAAGTTTTTTTTTAATAGATGCAATATGCATGTACTGATTTTGTCTGCGGACTGTCAGCTTGTGGAGGACAAGACAGACTGTACAGTTTATCTCCTGCCAACCACAGGTTTGACTGCAGAGCCATACCATAAGGCGCTGAACATTAAAATCAGTGGAGTATATATTTTTGTTTATTATTATAGGTCACACTTCAGACAGATGAAGTAAAAAATGTGCCCTGTGGAACAAGTGGAGGAGTCATGATTTACTTTGACCGCATTGAAGTTGTGAACATTCTTAGTGCAAATAGTGGTAAGTATCTGCAGTTATTGTGATGTTAAACAATTATATGCATACTGAAAGCTGTAAAAAAAGGTAAAATTCTATCCCTGTAACAGGCCGTAAGGCCCATAGGGTAGTGAGACATTGAGGCTCCCACAGTTTCTCTAGACAGTTGGCTCACAGGTGGTGGTAAAGTTGTCAGCCTTACGCACTGGCTGCCCTTTACCCCCCAGGAATATTCATGGTACTCATTTCTGTTATAGTCTGAGTATGCCCCAGGGCCATAATGTGGCTGGAAGGATTAAATGAATTGAAAAATCTAATGACCTCATCCAGAATCGATCCAGTAACCTTCTGGCTTGTAGCATAGGGCCTTAACCAACTACACTACTGTGTATGCTTAGTTACGTTTGTTTGATTCTGATATTTAAAGATTTTTTTTAGGTGACTTTAGATTAACTAAAATTAACTTGGATTTCTTTCCCTTTTTAAGTGTAGAGGATTAAAATTATAGCAGTCCAGATGTTGGATTAATTATAAGAGGGGGTATAAAGAACAATACATCTCTAAAAGCCTTATCTGCCTTAATGTAATCTCACTTCAACCTATCTTTATAACTGGTGCCTTCATCACTGGTGCTAATATTACATCTACGTCTGTTATATTCCATGGATCCACAGATAGTCAGAAATGACCACAGTATGTGCAATAAGTCGTAAGAAGCTCTGGACATATACATACAGTACAATTGAAGCTTTCACATAAAAAAAAATGGGGGTTCATGTAAGGTATTCAGATTTGACAGTATCAGAGCGTCTTCAAACAGCTCTGTACACGGTCCAACAATGGTGTGAAAGAACAAGTCTTTCCATCAATCCTAATAAGATGGTAATTATACCGTTTACCAGGAAGAGAAATATGAAGGGCCTTAAGGAACCGACCCGCTTCAATAAGACGATCCATCTGTCCAGCACCTTGGTCTAGTATTGGACAAGGGACTGACATGGAAAAAGCAGCTTGACAAGGTCATCAATAAAGCCTATAAGGCTTTTTTGACATGCAGAAGCATGTTTGGTAAAACTTGGGGACTGCAGCCACACGTTGTGCATTGGATATACGAGGCTTGTCCACAAAGTAAGTTTCCCTGGGGCTGTTTGCAGAAACAAAACACAATT